AAGTTACGTCTAAAATCTCGAAAATAAATGATGGGAAAAAAATTCTACCTACGCCACTGAATTCTTCGTAAAAAGTTGCCCATATAATGTTTTATTTATAATACTCCATCTTTGATAATAAGTGAGATATTCGCGATTGTCGTTTTCGCAAAATTTTCAGTTTTTGCCGATAGGGCGAAAACAAAAGACGATAGCTGTTCGGAGTTTTCGGCATTAGCATTTTCTCGAAAAACGACATCATGACATGTAAGCTACTTTTTTTCTATCTCTTTTAGTTTCGGAGATAGCCCATGCGGACATCGAAATTTGGTTCACCCTGTACATATATAGGTATACAACCGGAAATTTATTTCAACCGAACGTATTCAATTAAAACTTATCTCACACAACTTTTAATCATATTATCTTTAATTTCAGACAACATCGAACGACACTTCGTTAGGGGTAGTGGAAGATCTTCAAAAACAAGATGCAGTCACGATGATGTCGATTTTATTAGTGGGTAAGCACTTAGATTTAGTTGTTGCAATCAATCTCGCGAATCACCACAATTTCCGTTACAATCTTCGTATCCAAGTTTGTATTAACATCGCGCAAATTGTTTCCGTACAGATGCATAGTTTCCTAAGTTCGGTTGTTAAGTTTCAAATGCAAAGTAACCCTTCTAATCGAACATAAGGATAAGAAACATTGAATTTCCCGGTTGAAATAGCATTCCCTCCATTAACTTTAGAGAAATAAATCAAGATGTTTCACATAACTTATTATTAAAATGTCATCGAACAGTTCGTTCTCAAAGATAATATCATTTAAAATAGTAAATCAACATCACGCACCAAATAATTTTGTAATTAAAGCCGCAGCAAACCGTAGAGTGTTCAATACCGATCGGCATACAACGCAATGAAGGGATAAATGGAAATAGTGCTGCTGACAGCCCGATTTACGAGATCCATATATGCCATATTCCATCGCGCGATGCGGAAGGCATGACTTTTTTCCGATTTTCGCCTAAATCTGAAAGCACCGTTTCCCCAATTTGATGATGGATTAATCGAAACGCCACCCTACATTATCAATAAACGTCCGCGGATATTAAACTGAAAGCATCGACCGGACGACAAGTATCAATCATGTTGCGGACCATCCCATAAGACTTTGTAAAAAAGTCTTCACTGCGGAGATAGACTCTCGGTCGATTTTTATGGGCTTTATTTTGAGAGGATTGCACGTACTGGGGAGAGGGATGAAAGGAGAACTGTCCACTCGAGTCATTATCCGCAGGAATGACCAATGTTATAGCACCGTAACTCGTTAATTTTCGATTACTGTGGTTAATGGGTCAATCGCTATGATTTAACAAATTAGAAATTTATGAACAGTCGATGATTTCATTAAATATTACTACTATTATTTATTTATCAATACGAAGCTGGTTGTTTTTACTGGAGGTGCATCATTTTGTATAAAGAAAACATTTACAAATACTGAAACTACGAAAGTCAGAGCCCTAAAACTTTTCCCTTTACAATTTTTTTCTAAAGTTAGTAATACTAGACATCGAACGAAATAACAGGATACCTATTATCGAACGAAATATCTTTTTTCAAAAAACAAAAATTGATATCGTAATTTTTTCTATATCTCTGTCTATTATCATGTCATTAGTAAAGAATTATTTGCAAATCAGAATTTAAATCAATCATTAAGAAATTATCAGCACTTATTATTCAAATCATAAGCTAAACGGATTTTCAAAGTATCTTTTAATTTTTAAACAACACTTCTCGATATTACTTTCTATTTTACTGTTAATCGACAATAATTAGAAAAACCAACAGGAAATACATACATTTCATCCAAGATTCACAAACCTATCAAAAGTACAGTTTGATGAAGAGGAAACCACATTATTGAATAAGGGATATAAATTTGCTTATGAAGAAAAACCAATACCACTACCATACCTCGCTATAGAAATAGAAGCTGCAGCCAACAACACAGAATATGAAGAAAACATAAGAAAAGAAACAATTGATATACTGAGACGAAAAGAATAAAACGAAGAATAACACACATGAACAAAGAAAATAAAAAGAATAACAACAACACAACCAGAATCATGAAAAAGATGGTTATCATAGACAAAGAATCATACATCAAGAAAACATTAAATTTTTTTAAAGACAACAACTTTGCAGAAATAAAGAATAATCAGACAAAACAATTTCAAGTGGAGACAAGAAAATTAATTACCAAGAACAATATCAATACATTTTATTTGACTCCTATGAACCCAATTTATACTCACTAATAAAACTACACAAAACAGAACAACCTATACGACCAATCATAACATCTATCAGCTCCTCTACATACAAGATAAGTAAATTCATTATTAAATTTATTAACGATAACATTAAATTTGAAAACAAATATACCCTTAAAAATAGAGAAGTAATTAACACGATCCAGGACACTAAGCTGCCAAAAGACTTTTTAATGGCATCTCTGGACGTCACAAATTTATACACGAATATTCCAACAGAAGAAACCATCAAAATCTTAGACAATATAATTAAATTATATATTATACAGCCTGATTCAGAGTAAGCGCCTTATTTTTTTTTAGCCACACTGTGGGTACTACTTTCAAAATATTTGGCAGTAATATGTTTTAGGACACTCTCTACACGATGGTGATATCATATTTTCAATTGGACGAATTATTTCAAAATGGCGACTGTCAACTTTTTTTTTTTAATGGAATGCCAAAATTTTTTTTTTATTATTGAGATCTTAAAAGCATTCTTTTTACGACAGTATTTTGTTTTTCTTAAAAATTCATTTCTTTCCCCATCCAAAAGGAACCTAATATTTTAATCTATACTCTGTTTTTAAACCAGGAGGAGTATTTTAAATTTGTCACCAGATTGACCTTGCACGTGATTGGTTGAATGCGAGGAAGGTTCACACACAGGCAATTTTGAATTTTGATTTTGAATTTGAAGGTTAGGTTATTGATAATTCGACAGTTTCGTGTCATTGTTGTAAATTTTGTTT